TTATTCTAAATAAATTTTGCTGAGTGAGGTAACACAGTCCCCGGCCATGGAGCTTGCAGCTTGGTGTTTGCCCCGAGCCCCGCTTCGGTTTTCTTTTTCAGTTGCTCAAGCAATTTACTGGGTCAAGAGAAACTCCTCCCCACCCCCAGCCCCCCCAAAATGACCAGGCAGAACGTGGCGAAGACGTGAGGCCCAGCACCGTTACTTTCAGGCTTTCTAGAGCTTCTTTCTACCGATTCAGGAAAGCTTCAGCTTTCTGCCGACTCTCCAGTGCTTTCTGAAGGAGCTGCGTTTCGGCCCTGGGGAGGGCGTGGCACTCCGATACACCTTCCACGTCCGCATTTCACTCCTAATGCTCTCAGCGGGGACAGACGGACCCTCCCTCTCTCGACACACCCCCGTGTGCCCACCGCGGCCCAGAGCCTCGCCCGGGGAGGCCCTTCGCCCTGAAACCCTACCACCTGCTTCCACTCAGCAGTCTCACCCTCCCCAGGCTCGCAGGTGCGATTTTATTTGCTTAGGCGTTTTTATTGCTACCAGGCCTTAACCTTTGCCAGACGAGGAGGTTTCTAACTGCCCGCCTCTCTCCCCAAGTCAGGCCGGAGCCCTAACGTTCCCTGATACTACGCACTGTTATTATCGCCCCTTACTGATTGGCTGTCTGCTGTCGTCCGTGAGTCCATAAGTCCTCCTGTGCAGATGAAGTGCAGTCAGCTCCGCGTGCACAGGGCCGGGCAGAAACACTCAGCGTGCAGGATGACGGGGGTGGGGGCTGGTTATCTGCCAGCAATTCCGGATCACTCTCTGGAAAGTGGAAATAGCTGAAAACCCGGACAGTTCATGTTTGCTTTAATTAGTCTGTGTAATAAAATAACAATCAATTCGGAAACACTGAAAATGACAGCTACTGCTGTTAATGAGCCCCTGTTAGTACTAACCGCGTGGCTTCCTGGCGCTACGGGCGCCTGTGCGTTTGGGCGGGCAGAGGGGAGAGGGGCCGCGAGGCCGCGGAGCTGGGCCTTCATCGCTGGGGAGCACAAAAATGCCATGTTAGGAGGAGGGACCTGCTGGTGGGCGAGGCCGGCGGGGAGTGAGGGTGTGGGCAGTGACCCGGAGACAGGAGAGCGCTCCTGTGACTGAGAAGTGGTGAGCCCCAGTGCCCCTAGCCCGAAGCTGGTGGGGATGAGGGCACAGGGTGGACTTGGGGGTCCTTTGTGGTTTCTAAAGGCCTCACGTGTACTGGGTCTGGTGCGCCTCCAGCCTGTCCAGCATGCGGGTGGAGCCCTCGCCCAAAGCCTCCCGTCCGGGGGACAGGGGGCAGGGCGGGGGAACTGGGCAGGGACTGGGCGGGCCCGGGCCCCGCCCCTCGCTTGGATTGCCTGCAGCTTTGGGGTAGAGCAGGACACACTGTTTGCCGCTGCTCACACACTAGGAAGCTGAGTGCTCACCAGCTGAGGTCTGAGGTCGCTTGCTGACCGCTGGAGCAGCGCTAGCAGCAGGTCCCCTGAGTCCGAGCCGTGTGTTCTGGGCGCCGTTGGCACCTCTGATGTCACTGGGGCTCCCCGGGAGGTTCCGGCCTGACGGGGCAGCCGGGCTGCCCAGGCTCGTGGGTCTGGATGGCAGCTGGGCTGCTGTCTCTGCCCAGAGCATTTGTGGACGCTTGCCACCGGTGGGTGAGGACCTGACTTCCTCTAGCTCTTTGTGCAGATAAGGCTCCTACTCTCTCTCTTTTTATCTGGTCTTGAGCTGAGGCTCCCCTGACTGATGCTGGGTGTGTGGTTTCCAC